CTTTCTTTCTTTCTTTCTTTCTTTCTTTCTTTCTTTCTTTCTTTCTTTCTTTTATCTTGAAATACAGTCTTGCTAAATTGCCCAGGCTCAGGACTGGGGAGAGAGCTCAGCAGTCTAAATGCCTGTCTGACAAGCACAAGGACCCAGGTTTGACCCCCAATACCGCATGCCATGCTGGCCCCAGAAACCCAGGTGCACTATGCTGGCCCAAAACCTGGCGTGGTGGCACACGCCTGTAATCCCAGCACTAGGGAGGCTGACACAGGAGCATCAGTATGAGTCTGAGCTGCACAGCAAGACTGTATCAAATAAATAAATAAATAATTTAATTGCCCTTGTTGAGCTCAAACTCGCAATCTTCCAAGCTCAGTTTCTCAAACTGTTGAGATTAAGATGAACACCACCTCACCTAGCTAGGATGGCAGATTTATGTGAAGTATATTCTACCACAATTAAAAGCAAAAAAAGAAGAAGAAGAAGAAGAAAGTGTGGGGGCCGGCGAGATAACTCATCAGACTAAGCACCTGCTTTGGAAAACGCAGGGACTGGGGTTCGATTGAGAAAGCCAGGGAACTGAGCCAGTGACCAGCCAAGCTAGCAACAGAGTCCACATAGTGAGACCCTGTACCAAAAAAGTGAGACCCTGTACCAAAAAAGTGAGAGGCCCTGGGTTTCAGACTGAACAGAGACAAAAAACAAACTCATTAAGGTTTTGAAAACCTGCTTTTTTTTTTTTTTTTTTGGCAGTACCAGGATTTGAACTCAGGACCTTGGGTTTGCCAGGCAAGTACTTATTGTACTGAGCTATCTCCCCAGCCCAAAAGTACGGATGTAAGTGGTTTTTTTTTTTTTTGTTTTTGTTTTTGTTTTGTTTTTTGTTTTTTTTGGCGGAACCAGGGATTGAACTCAGCCCTTGTGCTTGCCAGGGAAGCACTAATTCCACTGAGCCATCTCCCTGGCCAAGGTTTTGAAAACCTGAACTCCATGCACAGTAAACAACTTCCTGTCCTCTTAACCCTGGCAACCACCCTTCTACCTGTTGTTTCTACAAATTTGTCTTGAGATAGCTTAGAAGTGGAATCACACAATGCTCGTCTTTTGTGGCTGGTTATTTCAGTTTGCATTCTGTCCTCCAGGGTCACCCAAGGACCAATAACATTTATATTATAACATAAAGTTGTATTGTATTTATATTACATTAATATTTATACATCACTTTCAGTATATGCATTCAGAAAATCTGTTGTAGCCCTTGGTGAAATGATCCTAATGGTTCACAAGCTGAGGGGCATCATCTTCTAATCAGAAACCGAGAGAAGCTTGTGTGCACATTGTTCTCCAGGAAGGAAAGAACATGCGGACCAAGCTGCAGTGGGGCCCCTTCCCATCAAGACATCTCACTGTCGCTTGCCTCTCAGTCATAAAAGTTCTGTCCTGTGTGCTCTGGTTCTCAAGCAGGACATGGCACACTGCTGGCCCTCTGAACGCCTAGAGGAGTAGCTGGGCTCCGGGAGGAGCCGCTGTGTGATCCCAATTGCTCCAGTTCACATGAGCACGCCACTCAGGAAAGCACCAGTGCATACTGCCACGGAAAAAACCTCCAGGATGTATTTCAAGCGAAAACCAATGTGTATGTTAAAACAATAAATATGTATCCAAAAGATGTAACTGTGCATGTATCTATTTATGTATATAAAAATTCACTGAGACAATATGCTCATCTCAGAGGATCCCAACTCTAATGGGAAACAACCAAAACCTTAGAGTCAAGCCCAGATGCCAGGCTCACTAAAATGCCTAATATTTTATCAGTCACGCAAGAGTCCAAGGCAGTTGACAAAATGACACATCAAAGTCACACAGAGGAAAGAAAAGCAAAGAACGCACTTCCCGCCTTCGTTGCTAACGGTGATTCCCTTTTTCAAAGGACAAATGATCCCGATGACACCTGTGGCTAGCTCAGCCCTGATCTCTGGTTTGTAAGGCACCGATGTGGATTCAGATCTCACTCACTCCTACTTCCCTCCCTTAGCTTCATATGCCTACGGGCAATCCCAGAGGATAGGGAAGTGATGGCTCTTAGTTCTTGCGGGGTGTCGGTCAGAATGAAACAGGGCTGTGAACTCTTTACCACCCATCCAACGTGCCCCGCGTGGTCCTAAGTGCACATGACATTCAGTCTCCCGTTGGATATACAGTTTATAAACGGTGTTCTCCCATCTCTCCAGATGGGACAGAGACCAGACAGGCCCTCTGACAGGCCCCAAGTCCAGGGTGGAGCCGGAGCTGGAGGCGAATCCCACTCCCGGCCCCGCCGCAGCGCCCCCGCCGGCACCGACCCGGCCCCGCGTGGGAAACGGCGTGGACCAGGGCGCGCGCGGCACGTGGAACCCGAGGCTCGGCCCCGACCCCGGGCCGCTCCCCGCGCCCTCCTTGGTCCCGCCAGGTTACCTGCGCGCGCGTCCGCATCGCGCCGGGAGCCCGCATGGTGCGGGGACGGACACCGGGACCGGGACGCGACCCACGCGCACCCGCTGTCACCGGCCGGACCGGAGCGGAGGAGTGGAGCTAGCGCCGGCCCTGCCCTCCCAGGTTCCCGCGGCCGCCCCGGCCTGGGCCTGATAACCATCTTCGGGTGGAGACCGAGGCTGGCTGGAGTGGCGTAAGCCGGGCTCGCCAGATCCCGGGCAGATACCGCGCTCCCGCCCATCCCCCGCCCAGCTGCACCGCGACCTCCCAGGCGGCGCACCTTCGAGTCCCCCGCGGCGCTCATCCTGGCCGCGACCCGGCTGGCCAGCCTGCCTCGTCTGGGCTTCTGACTGTGCGGTCAGTCGGGAAATCCGGACTCCACCTCCGCACACCGCCTTTTACAGCCTTGTGGCCCTGTCCCAACACCTGCCGGGCCCCAGGTACCTCCAGGGAGGAGCAGGCCATTCTGAGTTCACGTCCATCACAGAAGTCCAGCCAGGCCCAAAGGGATCTTGCGTCCCGCGCACCTGCTTCGCGGTAGTGGAGGTTCTTTTCCCAGGGTTCAAGCCAATAGTTCAAGATGGGTCATACCCTTCTGGGCCTCAGTTTACCTACCTATGCAGTAAGAATAGTAGCAGAAAAAAACCAACCTCCCTCAGGGAAGTGATATGAAACAAAAGGAAATCAGTTATTCTGACTTATGTGTAAGGTACCACCCACGCAGATATTTGTTGTTATGTTGTGATGTTATTTTGTTCTGTTTAAGGCAGAATCTCACTATGTAATTCAGATTGGCCGTGAATTCACTGTGCAGTCCAGGCATATGACAGCCCTCCTGCCTCAGCCTCCAGAGGGCTAGGAACACAGGTGAGGGCCATCAAGCCCTGCTCACTTGGCTTTGCTAATTCTGTTATGTGTGGCTTCCTTCAGGTAGGCTGTGCCGGGTATGGTCGTGGTCAGTGGTTCTGAATGGATCCCAGGATGCTGGGGAGGTGACACAGCCCTGGGTAAGGTCATGTTCACATCGCTGCATGGAATGGACAATGGGAGGCATTCATCTCTGACAGGTGACTTAAAATCATGGACACCTGCCCATTTAGGCCAGCTGAATTTTTGCCCAGTGAGCTCACATCTACAGATGCAGTTCACAGGATCTGTTCCCCCATGTCCCATTGT